TAATATAATTTATAAATTTAAATTTCTTTAAAAAATTTTTGACATTGGATTAAGAATTAAAAATGGTTAAAAAAAATTATGTTAAGATCGACCGATTTTATAGAATTGGAACCTCATATTGCCCAATCCGGTCCTGTTTTAAAACCGTATTAATTATTTCTCAATATATTGTCTTTATTTTTGCCAAACATCCATCTTATTGAGAGAATCAGAAAATTTTATTTAATTCTCTCCTCCCACAAAATTTGTATTTGTGATTTTTAGGTCAAACTTCAACAAATTCTTTTAGCACCATATGCCTGCAATAACTAGTCGGGAAACGCAGCATGCACAAAACTCAATTTCAAGAAAAAAAATTGTGATTTTAAAGGCTTGTGCTACGAAAGCATAAAAGAAATGGGTGTGTGTTTTTAAAATTACCACAATAAGCTTACAAAGTAACTAAAACACAAGAAGTATGCTCATCATTTAAATAAATTATGCTTTATTTAACAATCTAACCGTAATATTAAATAGCACATTCATATAAAACGTAAGGAAAGCCTATTCACCGCAAGTAGAGTTATTCACTATATAAGTGGGTAGCTTTCATAAGTTCATATTACAACCAAACAAATATCCAAATTACTTTGTGAAGGGGAATACAAGGGCAAATAAAATGCGCCGCCGCCACCACTTGTATTATAAAAAAAATAGAATATTGGATTTTGCGTGACGTAAAAAAACACTTGTTTGGGATGGTGCAAGTAATAGACCTCTCATATGGAAGAATCTACCACTTCTCTAAGACAGAATGAAATCATAATTTTGAAAATTGAACTTCAACATGCAACATCTAGTACCGGTACCGGTCATACCTTTGATTCTGATTCTACAACATCCCCATAGGCAGCATGCTCCTTTGCCACAGCCACCAACTGGGAATTTATGCAAGACTTCAATCCTGAAAGAATTGACCAGATACGCCGCACTAAAATCTATAAAGAAAAGAATCATTGCAAACAAATAGCAAGTTGATTAAATTTTCTTTAAAAACCAATAATCTTACGAATGAAGAACAAAATAAAATTCAAACAGACAGCAAGTTGATTAAATTTTGTTGAGAAACAAATATTCTTATGAATGAAAAACTAAATTAACTTCAATAAAATGTCATTAAATTGATTAGATATCAAGCTTCTGAAAGTTAAAATGTGAATTGCAAAATAGCAAGTTAGTAACAGTTTGCAGTAACCTTTACCCAGACAAAACATATTAAGAAGATCACGGAAAGAATTGACAAATGGAGCTCACCTGATTCAATTTCTTAGCTAATTTTGGAACTCCACAGCAATGAGAAAGATCATGATATACCTAATCAGCAAAGATGTCAAGCTTAGACTCGAAGATTACATAAAATGCAAGAGGAAAGTTATTAAAGCTAGTAGTTGCAAGAATCAAATTCACCAATTTGCTAATTACGGACAGGGTGATGTCTAAAGAATGCCTCTTCATTGGCCAGAGCATCATCTATGCTTCGATTTAAATTGGTGTCCTGAATACAAAAGAAAAATAGAATCATCAATAATCAAGAGAGTAGCTAAGGTTGCATAGGAGTTTTAGGAAGCCTTGAACGGGCACAAATTTCACAAATAACAATCTTTGAACCATAGTATTGTTCAACCAGAAGATTACAACACAGTAGTACCGCGGTAGTAGAAAACATAGAAGCATGTTTTATAGGGAAATTTACATACATACCATCCAATACCTATTTATATACATAAATACTTTTAATATTTATACCACCCAAATATTTCATATCACATCAACAAACCACCATTAACTTTTAAAATGTGAAATACACGTCTTCATATTTAGATAGCAACTTTTAGAAAATGAAATCCACGCTTGCTGCCCCTCCACAGGACAACCATCATTTTGATTTGGTTTCTCCTTTGTTGCTCCTCACTGTTTCAACCCTCCACTTCGCTTCCAACACAATTCCAACACCTCCTTTTGCTATCCCAACGACCCACAACCCAATTCAAACACTTACCTCCACTCCCGGACCACCTAGCCAACCTTTACCCATGGATCGAGCTCGAGAGTGATTTTGTGTTGTGTTTGTTGTAGAACAACCCTTTGTTTGATAGTGTTGGGCTCATTATAGCTAAAGATAAAAATATTATATATATTATTTATATAATGATTATATAT